TATTCTTTGGGACACACACACACTTTTTAGATAAAATATATTATGAGTTTATTCATTACTTCCATTTGAAATTTAAGACTACAGGTTTTTAGCAAAGCTTTCTTACATTTGTTTCTCTTTTACTTCCATGCTGAAAAACCCAGTTGTCAGTAACATCACTCATTTGCTACACACACAAGTAACAAACAACATTACCAACACTGTATCCAATAATATGATTACTAAAAAGTTATATAGAGAGAAATGAGTAATCAAAGTCATATTAAAGACACTTTAAATAGTTTCTCCGGATGGTTATATCACCAACCTAATAAACATTAGGTTCATTTGATTAATTTTGCTTTCAAATTTTAGATTGAATTTTATTTTTTTTTTATTTTTAAAGCTTTTATTTATTTATCTGAGAGAGAGAGAATGAGAGATAGAGAGCACGAGAGGGAAGAGGGTCAGAGGGAGAAGCAGACTCCCTGCTGAGCAGGGAGCCCGATGCGGGACTCGATCCCGGGACTCCAGGATCATGACCTGAGCCGAAGGCAGTCGCTTAACCAACTGAGCCACCCAGGCGCCCCGGTCAGCACGTCCTTTAATCACAGTCCATTTACGTTCCTGAACTTAAGGGCACCCTGAATCATTCTCATTTTAAAATTTAGAATTGCCATCATTCATTCGCAGCTATTTATCCTGATGCACGTCTCTCTGTCGATGATGGTGGCGAGCAGACTCTTCCTTTCTGCTGGATACCATTCATTGATTTTCTGTTAGAAACTCGGGACTTTTGTGCTATGTAGGTTTGTCTGTGTTTCCATTTACACTTTGACTAGCTGTATTCTTTGAATGAATACTCTCATTAGAGGGTTGTTCATGATCCAGGATCCCCTCCTGCCTCCCGTTTTGGCGAGTCCGATCTCCCAGACGCCTTACTAGTAAGTTTTGAGCTGTCCCACTAGAAGTGGCTTTTTCTACATCAGCAGCATTGGAGGCCAGAGCCTTATTTTATTCTCTTGGAAATCTCCGTGGGGTATTTCTACAAGTCTGTCAGCTACCTGGGTTGGCTCTTTTCCTATTCACTTTTATTCTTTTTGGTTCTGGGGCATTGTAAATAAAGCTTTGCCTAAAACAAATGTGCTGTCAGGATGTGAAATGTGCAGTTGACATGTTCGGTAAAAATAGAAGCTGTTTTTCCTGCATCCACACCAGATTCATCCTCCCTGGCTCCAGAGAGAAGTCTCCTGGAATATCTGAAGCAACTGGGTTAGCTGACTCATCCGGCTTGGTCTCAGGAAAGCACGTCTTTGGTCCTTGTTAATCTTAGGGCACCGAAGGTTTTAGCCAGGAATTGTTCTGAAAGCAACAAAAGCCAAATCTTGGGGTCACTAATTTACTTTGTGCTGGGCACCCTAAGAGAGCACTGCAGTGATGCCTCGTGTTTGCAGAGTCCGCACTGACAGCAGCCTGTGAAACGAGCGGGGCCCCTTTAAAGTGCGCTCAGCCCCACAGCGAGGCACTGCCACCTCCGGGCTCTGCCTGAGAGCCGAGAGCCTGCTGTTTGCAAAAGCACGTGTTGGGCTGTTATTTTGCCTCTTACTGGGCTTTTTTGTGTCTACCTTTTTACCAGAGTGCCAGTGCTCCTGATTTGTTCGTTCTTTCACCCTTTTAGCTTCAACAGTCCATTTACCTAAGGTCTCTGCTTTATTTTAATGTGCAGCTTTGAAGGCAGTACAAGTGTTCAACATGAAATCTGTAATGAGCATACGGCCAGAAGGGCTTGATATGTTCAGGGAAACTTGATTCCATTTCCTGGACGAGTTATAGGAATAAAGTTTAGCATTATAGCGCACTTTGGAGATTCTCATCTTAGACCATTGGCATATTTCCTGTAGATTTATATTTTATTCAAAAGTGAGAGGCTTGTTTTATCTATTATTAGGAATTGAAGCCAAATTAAATTTGGAACAAGATATATTTAATGTCGTTTTCTTTTAACAAGACACAGAACTTATTTTGACCTCTTAAAATGTCATTTCTCAAAGTATTTTGACCGAAATAGTTCTTAAAAAGCAGCTCGAGTTCTTTCTGCCGCATTGGTGGCAGTCCTCCAATAATCATACTCTGTTGTTTTACTGTTTCCCTATATTTTGAGTCAGAATTGTTTATTGTAAATCATGCAGTTTTTAACATATGGTATTTGTACAGTCAGCACCCACACTGAAAGGAGTTTTTCCATCAAGTTCTATTCTAGGAAGGTGATATTTCCTTATTTATCAAAGTAGCATTTGTGAACAAATAAAAGACAGAAATTAAAACTTTTTTAATCTCAGCAAAATACATTTAGATGTGAAACATTTATATCGATGGCTGCTAGGCATGTCAAATCTTACATCTTAACCTGCCGAACTGATAGAAACTTGCCACTTGAATTAATAGTGAGTTCAAAGATGTTTGGATGAAGACCGTGAGTGTGAGAACATGTGGCTGGGAAATGGGCAGACCCCCCCTGTGCTGGAACCAGAGCACCGGGTCGCCCCCTCTGCCTTGCCCTGCCGTCCAGTGCTGATGACACGTGGTTGGCGGGGGCGCTGTCCCAGCATATCGGCTCCCTGGCGGCAGAGCTCTGGGACACTAAACTGAGGGAGTGTCCATGGGTACGTGTGTGTGTGTGTGTGTGATGCTGAGATGCTGTAACTGTTTCAGATGGTAAAGGATGACTATGAAGATGATGCCCACGTTTTCCGGAAAGCAGCCAATGACATCACATCTCAGCTGGAGATTAATTTTGGTAACCTCCCTCGTCCTGGGCGCGGAGCCAGAGGTGGTACACGGGGAGGCCGGGGAAGGATCAGAAGGGCAGAGAACTATGGACCCAGAGCAGAAGTGGTGGTGAGTGTTTGTATTCTAGGTCCGGGGTGGTTTTCTCTCCCAGGAAGTGAGAGGATGGGGATGCCCCGGGCTGTGCCGCTGGGAGGACCATCAGGGTCTGCTGTCCACGCCCCTGTCTAGCGTGGGTCTGACATCGAGGTGTTTGGAACAATGATGGCAGCAGCATGGACGTAGTTGGGTGCAGACCATTCAGTAGCCCTGGCCTCCACGGTCACCAGGGAGATCCACCGTCTGCCGTGAATGCCCAGAACCAGCGAAAAACTCACTCATCTGCTCAGACAAGGCCCCCAGGCTTGGGATCCAGTCAGATCACCTGATGGTTACTTACTGTGAGCTGATTGTATGCGCTGTGCCCTTATGGTGCTTTCAGGGCAGACAGAACCTTCCCTAAGGCTTCAAGGCCTCCTTGTGACTTCCCCAGGCTCACCTTCTCACCTCAAACCATTCTTCCCCACTTCTCAGCCAACACTGCCCCACCCCTGGTTCTTCAGACAAGCGTGTTCCTGACCCCACAGGGCCTTGGCACCTCATAGTCCTGCTCCTACCGCTTTGCCTGCTCACCTAGAGTAATAGATCCTCTGACCTCGCTTCCTCACAGGAGTCTTCTTTGGGCACATTTCCTTCCAGGCCAGTCCTTGAGCAAAGAATTTTATTTTTCTTTGAAGCATTATCTTCATTTGTAATTGTTTTCTTACTGGTGTGATCATCGATCAGTGTCTGCTGTCTCTCCAGCGGATGACAGAAACCATGTCTGCTTTGCTCATTATTGGCCCCCCTGTGCCTAGCACAGTGTAAGTGTGTAGTAGGTGCCTCATAAGTGTTCTCTGAACAAATCTGTGCATCCTGCGCTCTTCCAGCTCAGACCTGCCCTCAGGCCCCCACCCCTTCACCTTGTCAAGTTGCTCTGTTTTGGGATCTGTGTTCTCTTTGCTCCTTCACTGAGGCTTATCTCTGGAAGAACCTCCTCTTCTAAAAAGCCCTACCTGACTGTGATGTGCGCTCTGCCCCCAGATTGCAGTGGGCGCCCCTCCTGTGGGCCATTCACTGGTCATCTGTTGGCTGAAGATACCACACTGTGACCTCCTCAGGGCTTCTCCCCTAACCTCAGGGGCCCCCAGGGCAGGCAGGAGCTGTCTCTAATCAACCTTGTATTTCCCTGTAGTAAACATTCCATATCATGTAGTGCCAGGTAAAAAGGGTCACTTGGTCAAGGTTTGTGGGAGGAAGGGAGGGAGGCGGGCCCTGCTGGCCATCCTGCAGAAGGGACAGGAGCGGGTCTGAGAAGGGAGAGGCACCCTTCTGCCATCCCCCCTGTGCGTCTCCTCTTCGTACAGGGGGCCTGCCTCTCCCCAGGGTGTCTGGGCCGCACCCCCTATTAGCACCTCCCCTTGATAAGAGCGGGCACGTATTTCTCAAGAGGGCCGTGCCCAAGTGGGAATGGGTAAAGTGACTGTTGGTTTCTAAACTTTTCTTCTTTAGACACAAGACGTTGCTCCCAATCCGGATGACCCTGAGGACTTTCCCGCTCTGGCTTGAGAGGGCCCTATTTCCCTAGCAACGTAAAACAGCATTGGCATACCTATGAAGAGACTTTTCTTGCTGTGGGGAAGAGAGTCAGACTCTAAGAACAATAGATGTTGCTTTTTCCCGTGTAGTGTGAATTCGTTGCCCTTTTTTGGCCTGGGGGCTGTGGGACGGGGATTTCTCCAGACACCGAGCAGCAGTAGCTCGGTCAGGGGCTTAGTCTGGCACTTTCCCAAGAAGCTGGAGAATGGCAATTATTTTTTTATTTAAGGAATTCCAAATGAAGTTCAGAAATAATGTTTAAAATGTATATATAGAGATTGTATTGAATCCTCCACAAAAACAGGGAGAGGAAAGATGTAAAATAGAATCTGCCGAGACGCTTTGTACATTGTACAGAATCGGAAGGCTGTGTTCTTTGGTATTAGAGGAAATACACATAACTCGGACCATTAACTTCAAGCAGTCACAGCCTCCTTCTCAGAGATGGAGGAATTAGGATACAGCTGTATTTACTGTTTACTTGTAAATGCTTCACTCTCCTGGGATTTTTTGAGTTCTGGTTTTCATTTAACCAATAATTTGAAGCAGCTAGTGTGTATACAGCCATCGGCTACCACTCTGTGGCCAAGAATTAGGAAAAGTATTGATTCTTTTTTAATGGTGATTTAAACTACCTCGTGGTTTCCGTGTGTATGTACACACATACACACAAGCTTAGTGTAAGTGTGCATATTTAGGGTTTGGGTGGTTTTTAGGATGAGTATTAAGCATATGATTTTTAAAATCATGTTATTTAACCCATCAATCAAGTGCAAGGGGTCCAGGCAAAAAGAGTATTGCAACTTACCACCATATCCTTTTCTCCCTCGAAACTAGTATCTGAATTCAGCGCCCATGTACAGATGCCCTCTGTCCTTGGCCCGGCAAGACTTGTAAATAGTATTTATTGAACACTGTGTGCGGTTTTTTTCACTCAGCCCTTACACCAGTTTGAGTTCCCATTTCTTGCCTGTGGTGAACGTTTGGGGTTAGGGGCTACCAAGAGGTTCAGCCACCCACTGAGTCCTGCCCTGCCCAGCACAGCGAGCCCTGCAGGAGCCATACTCGGCCGTGTGCCCGGGGCGGGGACTGGGGCCCACGCTGTAACAGCTGTGGGCAGCTGGGGTGATCCTCTCCCCATTTTACTGCAGAAACTCAAGATAACATTTGCCTGTTGTCACCCAGTTAACATGCTTGTGTTGGAATCTGAACCTGGTCCCAGGATCTGTGCTTTTCCCCCGCTTTGCTATGCTGTTTAAGATGGCTCTGAACTTGAACCCAAGTGTAAATAAAGGTTGGTATTTCCTCCTAACTGTGTATAGAAAGCTGAATCCTTTTGGTCACTCCCAGCTCAAGAGAAAAGAACGTGGAAAAAGACCCAGTAGAAGGAAACCAGCTGAACCAACCCGCAACCATGTGATAGCCAGTTAAGGAGCTTTGCTGTGGGTGACTGCCTACCCTTGGTCCCATTATTAAATTGATGTCTGAATACTAAGATCTATTGATTGTTTTGTTCCCTCTCCCTGGAAGGGACACGAGTGGGACTGCCCTGATCTAAGTCTCAGGAGCGTGAATGTCGGGCTCGGCAATCATGATCAGCTGGTACAGCATGAGGGCTGTGTCATTCCTCGGCAGGCTTGATGCTGTCACGTGAAGTCACTCCGCCCACCTTGGCTTTGAAGATTGGCAAAACAGAGGTCCCTAGTATTGTAAATAATGTCTGAAAAGCCCATAGCGCTGGATTTAATACTGTATTTGGAAACACCGCATCCTTCCCAGACATACTGAAGATTTTTGGGTGCTGTGGTCAGAAACAGTTTTGGGGGGTGGGGTACCGTTTCTGAGCTTGTGGAAGACTGCTCACCAGGACTACCTCTTACCAATTGGTGGGGCAGATGGATGGTGGGTTTTGGTCATGTGGTTGTCCACAGTCCAGTGTCCCAGAGAAGACAGAGCAGAAGCAAAGAGCAGGGGGAATCCCCAACATGCTGTAGGGAAAAATCAGAGTGGGTGGGAGGACTGTGTTCGGACCTACAAACAAGGGAAGGCCTTCCTGATCAAAGTTCTCCTACCACACTCCTGAGATGCTTGGGTGTAGATGTATCACGAGGCAGGGCATGTTTCTAGCCAGCAAATGAACCCCACAAAAGAAAACTAGTCTGTCAGGACCTAAGACTCCTGGAAGGCAGAGGTCAAGTATGTTTGAATTCCAAGGTCAGGTGTGCCAGCCCCAAGGCCGACTTGGAGGAGCTCACAGTTGGATCTCAGGCAGCCAGGGAAGCAGCTGAAGATGGGGTAGGGGGAGTAGTCTCAGGGCCTGGAGGTGGGCGAGCTTCACAGAGTGCTGTCACCCCTGAAGGGAGGGGGGCCGGTACCCGGCCTCGACGGGACGAAAACCCCAGCTGCTCCTCTGGCAAGGTCTGGCAATTGCCCCAGGAAGGTTAAAATTGTGCCCTGGATGGTTTTACTGTCTGGCCAGGCTACTTCAAGAAGTAGTACATCTTTAGCCTCATGTTGCTGCTGAGCATTTGATGTTTTCATCCCATGCGAAGCAGGCCCGTTCAGGGCCCGAGAGGCCATAAGGGGCACCCCCTCCCCGCCTAGTGCTGGTCACTAGTTCAGGGCTGCTTCTCTCTCCACTCGCTCCTCCAGGCCATCCAGCTACTTCAGAGGTGAAGGCATTGTGTTTCTTCTGAAACCATACCGTGTGGTGTTGGAAAGTCCTATGGAGCTGTTGGACCTGGCTCTCAGAAGCGGGGAAAGGTCAGCTCTCAAAAACAGAAACTGACCTCTCCTGAGCCATTCCTGGGCCATTCAGGAAAGAGCCGCGTTGCCAACAGCAGGTGGGACTGCCCTCCCCAACATGGCACCACCCAGCTGGGTAAGCACAGCTTCCTTTCACTGCCGCTGCCTCTCCCTCAGCCTCTCCAAGGGGCACGGTCTGCGGAACCCGCCTCTCGGGGCGCTTGCACCGGCCTGCAGTCAGGCCCCCAGGTGGCCGGTGCCACCGCCCACGACACGCCCTGCCTGCGTGCGGCTTCGCCGGGCTCTGTTCCGCAGGCTCTGTCTTTATGTGGTAAAGGGAGTGAGGAAGGCAAAAAGCAGGTATTTAAAAATATTTTTATTGTAGGGGCGCCTGGCTGCCTCAGTACAGCAGGTGACTCTTGATCTCGGGGTTGTGAGTTCGAGACCCACGTTGGGCGTCATCACTTAAAAATAAATTCTTAGGGGAAAAAAAAAATCTTTATTGTAAAACTACGGATAAACGTGCAAAACCTCCTTGTAAGCACCACCCAAGTCAAGAAACGGACACAGCCTCCCCTCCCTCTGAAATGAGCCACTGCCCCGACTTGGTCCCAAGGGTCACCCCTAACATTAAGGCTTTGCGCCTCACTTGGATGTCTTATAAATCTGCAGGATCCCCCTCCCGCCTTTGTTGCAGAACCTGGTGATCCGAGGAGACGGGGCGGGCCGGGGGGGGGCTTGAGTGGCTGTTGTGGGCCATCTTGCAATGGTCCCGCATCTCACAGCCGGGAACGGGAAGGACGGTCTTCTCGGTCGCAAACTACCACTGGGGCAGGCCTGGGATGAGGGGATGAGGCAGACACAGGATTCAGTCCTCATGCCCAGTGTTCCTTCCATGCTCCTGAAATTCCTGCTTCAATCACTAGTCCCTAGGGCAAAGCTGCTAGGAGAGGGACAGGGGAAAGGCCAGAGGTCACGTTCCTCGGCAGGGGACCAACGGAGCCACGTGCCGTGTGATGCCGTGTTTGGCCCCTCCCCTAGGCGAGGCACCAGCCAGGGCAGGCAACACGGCGACCGCCCACAGGAGCATGAGTCCCTCTTGAGGCATTCTCCTGAAAACATGCTGGGATTAGAAGTGTCCTTAGAAAGCTTTATCAGGCCTCCTGCACGGGTGGAGATGGCAAGACTTGAGAGGCCACGAGATTAGGTTCAAGGTCACCAGTGAGGCACTGGTGGAAATGAACAGAAGCTTGGCTCTCCCGGGGGCCTCATGGAGCAAAGGATACCTCTGCTGGGCCCAGGCCCAGGCCGCTTCTGCCCACCTCCCAGTGCTCCAGAAAGCCTTTTCCTCGGCCACGCGGTTTCCTGTGACTCAGGGCGGTGATGGAATTTCCCCAACCAAAGCACAATGCCTTCTAAGCACTGTGACTTTGCAAAAACGTGGCCCCATTTGAGGGCCGACTTGGGAGCGCAAAGTCATCTGTAAGTGGGGATGCCTGTCACATGCGATTGGAGTGGTGCCGATAGTCTCTCCGGAGCTCCCATGGTTCTCTCATGTTCTCAGAAAATGAGGTAAGAACTTTCCTCGAGAACAGCCATCCCGCCAGGCTCACGGAGAACACCTCCCCACCACGTGTGTGCTGCCCGACCCGGGGGAGCTCGCCCACACCGATGGCACACCCACACAACCATGTCAGTGGCCCTGGTCTGCACTTGGCCTGTCTAGATCTGGCAGCACCCGGGCCACAGGCAGGAAACCACCGAAGTACCTGAGGTAAGTCCCACATTCTCAGCAACGCAAAATGCTCAGCGCTGGCCTGTTCCGTGGTGAGGGAGAGCCAGGTGGCCGTGAGCAGGGCCGCTGGAGCAGCTTTCAGGAAGAGGGAAAGCAGGGTGGGCAGAAGGGAAGCAGGAGAAACGAGGCCGCTCGGCCTGGCGAGAACCGTGGTGACCGACCGGGGCCCGTGAACCAGGGTGGAAAGACACCCCTCGGGGATTTTCACCAAGGATCTGCAGATGCCCAGAGTGGGGCTTGGAGGGACTGGCGCGGAGGGTCGCACTGCACCTGAATGAGCAGCACTCCTGGCAGCTGGAGGGTGCACAGCCAGTGAGGCCACATGGGGCCTAGCTATGAACTCTTCAAATATTCTGCTGTAGTAACTTTTCTGGGGAGACAGAGAGACCAGCTTCCATCAGATAAATCACCGGGGCCCCTAGTGTAAGAAAGTTCCAAGAGACACTATTTCCTGGGGGCTTGGGATTGAACTGCACCCAGAGAAGGGGCCAGCCTGGCCCCTTCCCATCCCAGTCATCCATCCAGGTCACCCACTGGCAGGCCCAGC